TTCTTATTAAGTACATATATATATATATATATATATATATCCCCCTTATTAATTACTCTCTGCTACTTATATGCCAATATACTCCGGGCTAAGCTTGACGATAATTCTTCAGCTTCGTGTGGAAAGTTACGCTATGCAAAATCATCTTATTCTGTGAGCCTGGGAAATTTCCCTTCAGATGATTAAATCGTTCTCGTTTTGTTTTGAGCCGATAAATTCAAAAGGAAATCTATTGTCAAGCTGCAACCCGGGAGGACCGACGCCTCATTTCTTCTCGATTAGTACTATTGTGAAAGAAGAGTCGAGTGAGGAGATAGGGTCCTTGCTCACTTTCATGTGGATCCCACTCGCTTACTCCGTCCATTTTAGCAAGGGAAAAATAACACCGGAATCCTTATCGCCTCAACGTGGATGAGTGAGTCATATTGAACTGAATTAAGAACGAGAGGCGGGCGGTGATTGTGATACACTACTGTGAAGAAGACCATCCGGCAATGAAAAGCATGGAATCTGAAAGAACTAAAGCACAAGAAATGTGAAAAACAATGAGGAAGAAACAAAAATTTGATTAAACTTGAGAACAAGATAAAGATAGTTGGGAACCAAAACCAATTCTGAAGTGTGATGAGACAAGAGTGGCTAACAAGACCCAGAAGGACAGATATGGGGGCAAAAAAAAAAAGTCACTTAAATCCATTAGAGACGTTCCTATCTTCAGGAAGAGACAAACTGAAATCCATTAAATCGTTCTCGTTTTGTTTTGAGCCGATAAATTTCAAAAGGAAATCCATTGTCAAGCTGCAACCCGGGGAGGACCGACGCCTCATTTCTTCTCGATTAGTACTATTGTGAAAGAAGAGTCGAGTGAGGGATAGGGTCCTTGCTCACTTTCATGTGGATCCCACTCGCTTACTCCGTCCATTTTAGCAAGGGAAAAATAACACCGAATCCTTATCGCCTCAACGTGGATGAGTGAGTCATATTGAACTGAATTAAGAACGAGAGGCGGTGATTGTGATACACTACTGTGAAGAAGACCATCCGGCAATGAAAAGCATGGAATCTGAAAGAGCTAAAGCACAAGAAATGTGAAAAACAATGAGGAAGAAAACAAAAATTGATTAAACTTGAGAACAAGATAAAGATACTTGGGAACCAAAACCAATTCTGAAGTGTGATGAGACAAGAGTGGCTAACAAGACCCAGAAGGACAGATATGGGGGCACAAAAAAAAAAGTCACTTAAATCCATTAGAGACGTTCCTATCTTCAGGAAGAGACAAACTGAAATCCTTAAAATCGTTCCACTCAGTAAACCAAAACTACCTTGACTTGATCGTGCATGCTGCTCTGTTCTATGCCACTGAGGCTGTCACTGATCGGGACGTAAATAAGTTTCATGGCTACCCAAGAGGTCTCGCAGGAAGCGAAAGAGAGTGGGTTGTTTGAAACAGTGACATCCTCTTCGATTTCGCCAGCAATGTCTTCCAGAATGGGACCGTCGTGAGCACCGCCACCGCTGATGGGCACAAGGATTTAATTTAAAAAGAAAAAATAACCTTTGAGCACGGATTAAAAGTAAAGTGCAAATTGCAGAACCTACATGTTAGTTTTCCTGACTAAAAAATGTTTGAATAGAAATTAAATTATAATTTTAAAAGTAATTTTATAGTATAATAAATAAATATGTAGAAGAGTTTGTTACTGTTTTTGAAAAGCACCTCTAAAGTCAAGTTGAATGAACCCTGGGGGCTCTGTGTTTTTGAGCTTAATCCTAAAAATAAAAGTTATCAAAAACCCATCAAAATTATTTATCATCATGACCTCCATTCCTAAGCTTGGACAGAGGGGTGGTCAAATAGAAATTAGGCGTGCAGAAGGGGGAATACTATCTCTAGTCTTTAATATAACAATTGGTTAACTAATTTAAAAAAATTTAAAAAATTAGTTATTTGTGGTAAAAAAAATATTATCTTTCTTAAATGTCCTTATCAAATTAGTTAGAAATCGATAGTAACTCACTAAGGGATGCTATTACTATAGAGATTACTTGAAGACGAAATCAATAAATATTGAAGAGAAAGTAATTAGGGTCTTATATTTGAAACCAAATTAAAAGTTAAACTAAACAAAATAATCAGGGTCTTATATTTGAGACCAAATTAAAAATCAAACTAACTCTTATATTAAAAATTGACATAATATTTTCTTTCTGCGTATTTCAATGAGTATATTATAAGTTTACCCAAGTAAAATTTAATTGAAGATCTTACTCAGAAAAAGCATCCTAAAATTAAAATTCGAACAATCTGTGCTTAAGGAGTTTCAATTAAAAAAAATTCAATATAAGTAATTAAAAAAATATTTGCAAAAAAAAAACAACACACATACTTAAGATGTAATTAATTTAATATTATCTTTAATTCTTAATATAAAAGTTAGTTTGACTTTTAATTTGATTATGAATATAAGATCTTAATCCACTTTGTTTCTAATATTTATTCATTTTACCTTAAAGTAATCTCTATAGTCATTGTATATGTTAAAGGATTATTATCAATTTGTAATTCAAACACAGATGATTAATAGGACATTTTAAGAAAGACAGTATCTATTTACCATAAATAACGAATTTAACTAATTTTTTTAATCTTTTTAAATTAATTAATTAGAACTTATAATAAAAACGGTAAGCAGTGTCTAAAACAGCGTTGCAAGTTCTTTTTCGAGAGGAGAAAAAGTTTTCAGGGCCGAGAAGGTTGTTTCTCTCCCAGAACATCAAAGGCACGGAAAATTTTGGTGGAAAAAAATAATGAGGATCGTTGAAGATTATAATGTTGTCACTATTACTCATTTACCTGCTTGGTGTGCGAGCCAACGTGCAACATTCTTTACATTTTTGTAAGTGTACTCCACGATGGCAGTCTTATCCTGTATGATAAGTTTCCTAATTTTCTTGATGTGATGGAAGAGGCATGTTCATTCCAAATAAGAGAGATGACTACAAGGACTCTCATTAGACACTGACTCTGGTAAATGCTTCTTTCCAACAGAGTGAAAAACCTTCCTGTATGGCTAAAATTTTATGTTGTGCTCCTTTTCTGCTAGCTGATCCGTCAACATCCAAGAACCGTGAAATAAAGCTCAATTCTCTTCTTCCGAAGCGTGTGAATCGTCCTGTGTAGATAGAAGATAGATGGCGAATAACAGGAAAATAGGAGTTGCCCTGGATTTCTCAAAGGGAAGCAAGATGGCTCTGAAATGGGGCATCGACAACCTGCTAGTCAAGGGTGATACCTTACTCATCATCCACGTCAAGCCTTCGCAAGGCGATGAATCCCGAAATCTTCTCTGGTCCACCACTGGTTCTCGTAAGTTCTCGGCTTTCCTTGCTTGCTTGCTTGAATCTCTAAGATCGTTATAACGAGGGGGATCTTGCAATTTCAGCTCTGATCCCTATGTCAGAGTTTCGTGATAAGGAGGTGATGAGCAATTATGAAGTGGAGACCGATGATGAGATATTGGATCTGCTCGACACTGCTTGCAGAGAGAAGCAGGTCTCTCTCCCTGCCTCTTCCTTTTCATGGATTGAGAATTTGATTCAAAGAGATTGATCGAATTTGGTTACAGGTGACGGTGGTGGCAAAGCTATACTGGGGGGATGCGAGAGAGAGGATCTGCGAGTCCGTCGGGGATTTGAAGCTTGACGTTTTGGTCATGGGTAGCAGAGGCCTGGGTCTCATTCAAAGGTACTGTAGTTTTTTCTTCACCTTTCCGTTTGGAATATGTCAATCTTCATTCTCTTGTTCCTTTGGCTGTTTGACACGAATGAATAAGCTACATGTATTGACGTCAACTAACAATATAGGCTCGACCCTGTCAAACAGTCAAATTCAATTGTTTCATGGCAAAATGCTAACATTTTAATCCATTCGTTTTTATTTATCGAACTGTACTACATATAGGGTTTTGCTGGGGAGTGTGACCAGCTATGTTACCGCGAACGCCACTTGCCCCGTGACAGTTGTTAAAGACTCGTGGCCTTCTGGCTTCTGATCTCTCGTACCAGAATTTAGATTGAGCAAATGGAAATGGGAGTGCCATCTGAAGAAATGAGAATGCTCTGTCCTATTCGTCTTGGCCCAGGTTATCCTTATCGTGCATCATAACCGATATATGGCTCTATTTCTAGATATATGTATATATATGAACACGGGAGGTGAATTAAGGGTGTGCTAAAAGCATCATGTTTAGTGTATACAGTGTCAAGGGTGCCTCTTAAAGTGGTTAGCTCATCCAAAGTTCAGCTTATAATGAAAACTTTATGCTGGACTCTGTCACCATGAGTGATAGTATTATTATGTTTATAGTAGTTGTGTTTAGCCCATTTGCCTGCATGTTTAGAAGCGCAAAATTCCATAATCGCTTTTCCTTTACCAAATCATCCATCGAGTGGCAGAAGTAAAAAGCCTCCCAATGCAGATAATAAGGGTTGCCAGCACAAAATAGACGAGCGGCCATATTAAGTTCGACTCCTCAAATTCTTGAACAGAAAAGCATCAATTACAATATTCTCGCCGACGGCTTTAGCCGCCGTAGCGACTCTGAGGCAATAAGTGACGAGAATCCAGTCCGCCATTGGCTTCCCGTTAAGGAGAAGCAGTTTCAGATTCCAGAGATTGTATAAAAAAAAGTAATTTTCAGAGCTAGTTCAGTTTTGCGAGAGGCCCTGCCCACGTATTAAAAAGTCCGCCAATTATCGAACAAGATGATTACGCTCGGACCAGCAGCGAGTTAAGTTGTATGGTGGCGAGAATTCTTGAGTGTCGCAGGTTCGATCCCCAACAACAGCTTCTTTTATTCTCACAATTCGCCTCTCTCTACCCGCCAGCGGCACACACACCCGCTTCAATCCCAGAGTTGGGATATATGAATATTAAACACAGAACAAAAGAGGGTGAGGACTAAGTACAAGAGTCCTCGTCATTAACCGACTTAAAATTACAGGAGCAACTTCCGTAAAAACTTATCATTCAGATCTGCTCAAAAGCTACATTTAGGTCCTTCAGACTTAAAACAGTCTCATCGCTCGTACTTATGATGAGATCAGTATCTGGCATGTCAATATGCTAGTTCCCCCCCCCCCCCTCTTTGCAGCTAAGAGGAGATATAACGAAAGACCAATACAGCAGGCAAAGGCTGGGGAGAGAAAATTCTCATATGCTAGTTTTCACTATATCACCGAATAAATACTTGACACAAAATTGCAACCTTATCGCATGTACGATGATAGTTTCATTACTATAAAAACCAGATATTGGTATCGGTTTTCTAATTCATCTTAACAACGATATATTGATGCCACAGCACCTGACCCTTTCATGCTAAGCTACTACTGATGTCTCCATTGCAACCTTTCTTGAGCACCTGACCCTTTCATGCTCCTCATCGGCCTCCCAGAGCTCCGGAAACGCCTCCCTAATATTATGAATGCTCTCTAATGCATGATCCACTCCTGTGGTCCGAAGGGAAGTACCCACCTGCATCATAATTTCAAATTGTGGCGCTGAGATACATACCGATCACCATCTCATATTCGCGCTTCAAATTTCCCAATTCTACTACACATTTACATCTAGCAAGGATGTCACTACAAGTACTAACAGGTAATTCATGAAATTTTCAAGCAACAATGAAAGAAGAAAGCGTACTGACCAAGACCGTGTGGAGGCCCAAGCGTTTTGCTGTCTGTAAATTGCGGACACTGTCATCAAAGAACAACTGAAAGCAGCAAAGGGAAAAAAATTAATGATGGCATTTCTCACGTGGAGCATCATGATGAGAAACAATGGTCAATACTAGGATGAAAAGGAACGTCGACCAATACATAAAACAAGATCCAGATCCAGATGACAGTGATTAGTCAGAAAGATTGTAGAAAATATATGACCAAAATGTTGACGGAAAGAGTTGATCTTACTGTTCTCTGAGGGTTGATATTGGCCATCTCGAAAACCCGTTCAAATGCACCTTCAAATGGTTTGCAGACAACTGGGGTCTTCGGTAGCACCATATCAGAATGAGGCTGGCGCATACACTCGTAAAAATCAAATGTTGCAGATTTGTTGCCATCTTCATCACCATGAGGATGGTCGTAGTTGGGGGGATTCAGCGTCTCAAAGCTTATAACTTTTTCAAAGCATTCGTCCAATCCAAGTCTATGGAGCACTCTAACAGCATGACCTTCGTCTGAGTTAGTAAAAACCTAAAAGGGAAAACAAAATTGAAAAACATATAGATATATCATAATGTAAAGACATTTCACGTTCAATTTTCTGCCATAGGCGAGAGACGCCAAAAAAAGAAAGAGTGCCAATGCAGTGCGCATAATTTAACGAAGAACAAGTGAACTAACAATTTTCCGAAGTGGCAGGCTTAGCAATACGCCCCTGAGAACAGGGTCAGGTTTCAGCGTATCATATGGCAATCTCCCATGAACAAAACTGTTCAACAAGAACAATATTAGAAGCCTATTTCCATTTCACATGGTTTTTCAACTTCACAAAATAAAAGGCCAAGCTAAACTAAATAGATATAACAGTACCGTTACCTATGGAAATCATCGTAGTCGAAGTCATACCCAATAGCCTGGCGGGAGGTAGAGGAAAGATGACTGATTAGTTCATACTAAGCAGTCTACAGATAAATAAAATACTTTCATTTACGTGCATCACATACCCTGAGACCAGCCATAGTTGTCCCATAAGTTTTATATAATGAAACGTTCAATTCAGGAAGTCTGGTCTCCTCTATTCCAAGCTTTTCAAGCATGTAATCTGTGCCATACATCCAATGACGATTCATGATTCCACACCCAATCCTCAAGATCCCGTCATGCACATTCTCACATATTTGAGGCCCAGAGTGATATGTCCGTACCTTGAATATTTTTTCTCACGTGCACCGCCAAGCCAGAGCTCAGAGGGTAAAGGGTGTCATCAAGATCTGAAAGTAATGAAAGCATGTTATAAATAACTTGGCCAGGACAATCAAGCTTGCAAATGATAACGATTTACAAGCCAGTGTGAAAGCTTACCAAATAGAAGACAATCATATTTCAGGTTTGAAACTTCCTGGTACTGATTCCCGTTTTCCATTTCAACTTCCTCGGAAGGCTGCAAACTGGGGAGGAAAAAAACATGTGAACATCATGTAAGAAGAAATAATCGCCCAAATATCAACAATATTGTGTAAAATTGTCATGAACCAAATCTTTACATTAAACTCAACTGATATAAAATCACTGACCAAAATGCACATAACGAAAGTGCAGATAAATTGCGAATCATGGTGGAGGGTTGTCGAATGGAGGCCATTTTAGGGCATTAATAATATTAAAATTCAAAAAGAATCTAAAATGATCCACAAGCAGTTCAACATCAATGCATCAACAACACACGCCCGAGGGAAAATAAGAACGTAAAAACAAAAACAAACACCCCCCCCCAAACACACACACAAAAAGGGGGAAAAAAAGAGAGATCTTGAAAAGTGATCAACTAGACAAACGCAGGCACAGTGACTGATTTATGAAACACCATTGTAAAGGTTTTTTTTTGGGGGGGCCAGATTGTAAAGGAGACGGATCCAACGCCCAAAATCACTAACCGAAATGTTAAAACCTTGAAATTGAACGGGAATATATGCGCAAGGCAAGCGATGGGGGAAAAACGGGAAAGAAACGCAAACCCAGCGCGCTAAAGCAGATATAAGGCAGATCAAGTGATGGCAGATGATGCATAATAAACAAATAGAAACAAACTTACAGCGATTAGAAGAGGAAATCAAAAGCTGAAACTATGAGTACGCTGATAAAGAAGAAGAAGGAGAAAATGGGGAAGTGAAATTATAAATGCCAAGGGTTAGGAGTAGTTTAAAGTTTAAACTACAAATAGAAAGGGCGTTGATGGCTTTAAATTCAAGGCAACGGGTCCAAAGAGAGACCGACGGAGGGAGAGAATTAACGACATTAACGGGACCCAAATCCAGAAGCAAACATTAAAAAAAAAAATACACACACCCACACACAAATTACATAATGAGTCTACCTAAACTAGTGCCAGCGTGCCACAGAACTGAGATTTGGAGCACACTTTTCCACTTTGTTCGTCTTCAATGATGCCGCCCAACCATCGCCATCTCCCCAAGTTCGACTGCTTTCCCTTTCATTTGCGTCTTATTTGACTAAAAAATAAAAAAAAAATTGGGGAGTAGCGGGAATTTCTGGCGCAAAAAAAAAAGAAAAGAAGCGAGAGCATAATAAAAGATACATGAGATTTATATACGCGAGAAAGTAATAAAAAATATAATTGTATATTTGTAAAAGCTCTGTAAATTAATAAATATATTATTTACAAGTCATTTTAACCGTGGAACCTAAGTACTACCTGCAGTACTTGATATAAATATTGTTGGATTTTTATTTTAATTTTAAATATAAGATCCTAATACATTTTATTTCTTATATTCATTTATTTTTTCCAAGACAATCCTTTTAATAATGGTAGTATTAGCTAATAAACTTGATTAGCAAGTATAATTTAAAAAAAATAATACATATTTATAACAAAAAACTAACTTAACTTACTTTCTTAATCTACTCATATTAATCAAGTGGCTCTTATATTTAGGATAAGTAGTATATAATTAACAAGTTGTAGTTTTGATGGAAAGAATTATGATTGTTTAAATATGGAGTCCAGCCAAAACAATTATAACACGTCAATTAGTTGCCATGTTACATTTAGTTTTTTTTATATATGTATTAACATTAATTATTATCAAAATCAAATGCCATATTAATTTTTTTGCCCATATTATAACTACTGGATTTAACTGAATGAATTAAGGAATAATTAATTATGTATTATGGAAAGGGATTTCAACTCATAAGCTAATTATGAAGCCGGCAACCCTATTTAAATTATTCAGCAGTCATAAGCATTTCTATAATTAACAACTATTAATCCTTTTCTTCTTTTGGATGAACCACTCAACCTTTTATATGTAGTATTTTAACATTTTGCTCTAGTATCACAGCTCAGAAAACCGCGTATTTATCAATGTTCTCCGTATGCCAGCTGATTATTTTTGTTTAACACCACTTCAAAATAATCATAATTTTTATTTTTATTTTTTAAGGTTCAAATAATTCCTAGGTTTAAACAAACATTCTAAAATCTGTCAAAAATACTTTTTTACGAGGAATAAATTACTTTTTCATTAAAAAAAAAAACTAACTAGCCTATGGAAATGTCCCCACATAATTGTCTGGTAAATAAGGCTTCTGAATAAGGATAAGATCAAGAATGAATAGTATGAGGTGAATATAACACGAATATACAACAAAAACAGTCTAGTGGATCTATCTCCTAGCAATTTACTCATGAAATTTGTACACCGACAATATCCCAAAATTAAAACCATATAACACCTCCGGTAGGACAGGAGGTGCTATCTTGCAGTGCAAGATCCTTTTGCGCTAAGAATCTTTCGGAAGTTAATTAGGCACAGGTGTTGCCCTCTTGGAAAAAAAACTAAAGGAAAAAAATCGAAGCAATTACAACTGGGAGACAACCCAAAGGGACGACGGTGGATAGAGAGAGATCTTGATGAACACCATTCACCGACGCAGAGATCGGGAGTGACGACTTGAGTTATAATTTATAAATGAAAACGACGATGACCTCGTAAAATGAAATTAAAATGTGGGCTTTCAGCTTCTAGCGTCAAATCCATTGCCATCTTTGTACACTGCAGGAAACAGCAAAACCAAGCCAGAGGTGGCTTAAGGGCTAGGGCTAAGGCATAGCCGCGCATGCAAAATGATAATTTATTTGAGCCCGTATTATACAACTTTGCCCCGAAGTAAGGTCAGTCAAATAATATTCATTCCAACAAGACAGTCATTACTCATTCATGTACAATTCCCATCAACAAACGCCCCCGGTTGGTTATGAAGGAACAACCTGAGGCTGTAAAGAAGAACCCTCCTCGTCTTCTGGCCCATTACCACTCACCGGGCTTGAGCTCTGTTCCACAATCTTTTCCCCTTCCTCTTCAAAACCTTGCTTGAATCGATCATAATTGGTGACTTCACCTGTCTGGAATGGCCGCTTCCCCAGGACTCGGACCAAATCATCCTGGTGCAGTACTTCCTTCTCCAGCAATAACTCGGCTATTTCAGCCACGTGCTCCTTGTGTTCCTCGACCAGCTGCACAGTACGTTCGTATGCTTTACCTATCCATTCTCGCACTTCCGCGTCAATCATAGCAGCAGTCTTGCTGCTGTATGGTTTTGACATCTCAAACGTGTCTTCTCTGGGAGGGAAAGAAAGCAGGCCCACTTTTTCGCTAAAGCCATACACTGCTACTTGTGCATACGTCATCTTAGTCACTTTCTCCAAGTCATTTTGTGCTCCTGTTGAGATTTTCCCCAGGAGAACCTGCAGTCACGGGAGTAAAAACCATCGTTACCATAATTATAATTAAAATTGCACAAAGCAGTCTTCTACTTCTTTATCCCAGAGCTGTTTAGGGAATATAAGGAACGTCAATGGCACAGCACAGTACTTAGCCAGAAAAAATTCCACGCATACACATATCACCGATATTCTTTAAGTAGAACAAAAACCAAAAATCGAGACAGAGTTACAAAGCTGAAAGCTACCTGTTCAGCAGCCCTACCACCAAGGGTCATGCAAGTCATATCAAAAAGCTGCTCCTTTGTCATCAGAAGGTTCTCGTTCGGAACATACTGGGCAAACCCAAGAGCAGCTGTGCCACGAGGAACTATAGTTACCTTCAATAGCGGCTCTGCATGTTCCAAGAACCACCCAGCAACGGCATGGCCTGATTCATGGTATGCAACAGTGCGTCTTTCAAGCTTGCTTATTACCTGGTTGAAAATCTTGTATCAGAATTATCCTCACTGATTGAAACAGATAGACGGAAGCCTTAGTTAACAATATAGTTGCCCATTAAGGCCAGCTTTAGCTAGTAAGTATACTGTGAAATTCTTGTTTCCCGAGACAAATTTTTCCACAGAAAGTAAAAAAGTTGCTTCTCAGTTTTCCCATATAAGGTAATAGGATTAGGATGTGAGTTGACAGAGACCAGTTTCTAAAGCCACATAATGCAAAGAATCAATATACTGATGTGGTATAAAATGTGATAATGAAAATTGTCATATCCTCCCAAAAAAAAAAAAAGATTAAATGTAGCAAAATATAAACTAATACTAATTTAAGAAATCTATAGCTCTAAGGAAAAGTCTACTTGCCAATAACAACAATAAATCACCACATATAACGGTAAGTATCACAAAATGAACAATGTCAATACTATGTTTCACTTGCTTAAAAATTTAAGCAACATTTTAGGTAGACTTCTGTTATGTAATTATAATTATAAATAAGAAATATTTAAATAGGATTGATAGGATTTATATAATATTATTAGGAGTTAGGATTTGGATAGATTAGGATATCTAGATAATATATTTAGATAATATTAGGATATTTACTTAGATTTATATCTATTAGAGCTTTTGCTTATACATAAGTATTTGCCATTCTTTGTAAATCAGTTTTGAAATGTGATTAGAAATTATTCGGTTTCGCTTGGTCTTCTACTCTTCTCTAATTCTTCTCTGTTTTTATTACTCTTTTCCCTCTCTCTTTTCTCTTTCTCTCTCCTATTTCTTTACTTTCCATAACAACTTCACTGTCAATTCACAGTTAATTTTGACAAATGAATGCATCATTCCAGCCCCCACAACAATCAAGCTTAAAAAATAAAGTAAAAATAAATGTAGCAGGCTACAACCCATGATATACCTCCCACGTCTTCCTAATATTGATAGGCATAAAACTTTCAAAATACATACCCTGTTCTTCTTCTCCAACCCACCAATGATCCGATCAATGGCTGCCTCAAAGTGTTTCATTGCGACTTCCGTTACCTCATATCTTGCAGCAATCAGAGCAGCTTCATTGCACACATTAGCAATGTCTGCTCCAGCAAATCCAGGAGTAAGGGCTGCGAGCCTCTCTGAATAATATGAAGGTGCTTGGTCAAGCTTGATCTTTTTCAGATAGATTTGGAATATTTGATTGCGGCCTTTAATATCAGGTTTATCAATGGCAATCTGGCGGTCAAATCGGCCAGGTCTAAGCAGAGCTTTGTCTAAAATATCAGGTCTATTTGTGCCAGCAAGCACAACCACCCCAGAAGTGGTTCCAAACCCATCCATTTCAACCAACAATTGATTTAAAGTACTTTCACGCTCATCATTGGCACCGGATAAACCTCCACGCCCCCTTGCTCGACCAATAGCATCAATTTCATCAATAAATATTATACTGGGTGCACACTGCCTTGCTTCTTGAAACAAATTTCTCACCCTAGATGGTCCGACCCCAACAAACATCTCCATGAAATCAGAACCAGAAATAGAGAGAAATGGAACACCAGATTCCCCAGCAGTGGCTTTTGCTAGAAGTGTTTTCCCTGTGCCAGGAGGACCAACTAGAAGAGCGCCTTTTGGAATTTTTGCCCCCAATTCTTCATACTTTTTTGGATTCTTGAGGAAATGGACAAACTCCATAATTTCTTGCTTAGCCTCATCACATCCAGCAACATCTTTAAAATAGACCTAAATAAAGAAGAAGAATAGTTTCAAAAGTTGCCCGTTGAACAAAGTTATTTGCTAAGTCATTCCCTGCAACCCCTTCTCCCTAAAAGAAATAATAATGAAACAGGAAATAAAGAAATAAAGGAAGCAAGTAAAACTGTATGCAACATGCATACCAACCTTGTTCTTGGAATTTTTATCAAATTTAGTAACATGGGCTTTTCCAATGTTGAATATTCCACGGGCACCCTTACTGCCATTACCACCAACACCAAGTCCACCTTGCATTCTC